CCAGCCCAACCCACCCCTGTGGCAGGCGGAGCCCCTGCCCTGTGCCCTGCACAACCTCATTCACTAGAAAGTGGAGGCCCTCCGGGGCCAGGAGCCTCTCCCTGCAGGGGCCCCAGCCTCTCGGGGGCACACGTCCTTACCGCCACTCCCATACAGGTCTTACCTGCTGTCACATCCTTCACACCTGTGTTAGAGAAACAACCAACAGGTGTACAGAGAGATGGATTGACTTTAAGCAGCTGTGGGGGCTGGAAAATCCAAAATCTGCGGGAGAGCCAGGGAAGAACTCAGGGTTCAACTTGAGTCTGGGGGCAGAGTTCACTCTGTTCTCTTAAGGCCTTCCCCTGACTGGATGAGGCCCACCCACGTTAGGGAGGGTCATCTGCTTTAGGACAAGTCTACTGTTGTACATGTTAATTTCATGTAAGAAATGCTTTCACAGCAACCTGTGACTGTGTTTGACCAAACATGTGGACACCACGGCTTTGCCAGGGTGACACAAAATGAGCCATCACAACACCCAACCCCAGAAATGCTCCCGTAGACAGGCTCTGTCCTTTCATGCACATAAGAGAACACCCTGGCCCCCACGGTCCAGGGGAGGCTCGGGTCCTGGATGGCTGTCAGAACTCAGAACTCAGCTGTAACTCAGGGACCTGACTTGCCTTCCATGTTGGCCATCCTCTCTCCCCCGTCGGGCCTGTGGGTCCTGTGACCTGGGAGCCACTCTGCTCGGTTATGGCTGAGTCTCCTCCCTGGGTGATCCTGGTCCAGCTCTCTGACCCTATAGACTTCTTTACCTGAGGAACGGGAGCGCTGAGTCCTGGCCTGGCAGAGCGCTGTGACGACTCACAGACATTGCCTGTGATGTGCTTGGAAGGGCACCTGTGCCCCCGAGGACCTGCTTCCTCCCCAGTGGGGGCTGAGGCTCCCCGTCCTGCTGGCCTGGAGGTGGGCGGCAGCACTGGTTCCCTTTCCCACCGTGCTGCTCCCACACCGGCTCTGGGTGGCCTTCCTGCAGACCTGTCAGGGTCACTAGTAACCTCCTCCCTGGGCATGGCTCATCCTCCCCACTCATT